TGAACATGATGAATATATGCTAATATTTTAATTGCGTATTTCGATAGTCAGTCATGCTGCTTATTTGCTTTTATTGCTTCCTTCTGTTTAAAAAGAATTTTTTTTTAAAAACTTAGTTCCTATATTTGGTTTATGTTGCTAAGCCATATCTGTTTTGTTATACATCAGGAAGATCGTTGCTGATTATTCATTTATATTGTTTGTCTGCGGAATATTTTTCAACAACTAGTATTTCCTACGCTTTCATCCTTTTGCTTACAGCCGCAGGAATCTCTATTGTTAAAATAATTTTGTTTTTCTTCTATTAAACTTTACATCATTCCTTACCATTTATAAGATGCCTTTCATCGAGCATGTTGTTACCATTACTATGAGCTACAAAATTTAGACTGATCTTCATCTTTCAAAATGTAGCGAACAGTAGGTTTATGAAATATCAAAAAAATGTCTGCAATGAGAATAGTTATCGAACATATCGTGTATTCTCTATTCTGCGGGAACTGGACTGAGAGAAAATGACTCGTAGAGGCACTGACAACTCTACTGTCCTTGATATCCTTTGAACGTAAAGCTACACGATGCTTGAAGAAATACAGCAATTAGAGCAATAGTGCAAAAAAAAACTCCGTCATCTCAGTGAGATAGAACACTGAATCAAAACGTCTATGCTGTAATTGTTAGCGCGAGTATTGCCCTTTTCCCAAAAGGACAAACTGTCCCTTCAGGACGTAGTAACGGCAAGATTCGATGGACCCTGGTAAAATGCGTCTCGAAATCTATTTAGGCTACATTCTAAGATGGTTAAGTCTTGTTTTCTACAACTGAGGTCGTCGATATTCGAAAATAAATGGAGAGGCAGTTTGTAACAATTGTAATATCCGTCTTCCTTACACTTTGATGGGCGGAGGGAGCTGTTTCTGGCGCCTCCCTTTTCGTAAAGTTTAAATTTCTGTTATTAGCTTGGAGCTTATTTTAAAGACAGTAGATATGTAGCAAGCATAGTGTGTAGTCTCCGGGCAAGTAAGCTGACCGGGATTCGAACCCTGGACCTCTCGCGTTTTCGTCCTACACGTTGTCGACTGAATAACCCCACGCTTCAGAAAGAAATCGCAAAGAAGGTTTATCCTCGATGCGAATCACATTGAATTCATCAAAGGAAGACAACCTCAACTGTGCAGAATGATTGATGCACGTTCTGCTATCTGAAAACACTTCTTCGGAGGTACAACATAGGCCTGCAGGACTGAAGAAGCTATTCGCCGTAACAATTAAAGTTTACGAACTTGACAACCGTCACTGCCATGCTGTAACACCGATTCAGTGCACTTCGATATGGCAGGCAATAAACAGCATGTGCGCTTCTGAGGTCACTTAGTCGAAGACGAGTTTTTGCAACCTTTACAATTAAACTGGCGTAGCTGGTAGAAACGCCTGTTGACAGAATCTCAAAAGGATTCCATTATGCACTACCACTACCATGCAGAGTGCGTCTTTGCCGGTCGAAAGCAGTGGCATTTGTCATTCTTGCTGTAATGTTCGTCTGTTCAAGTTTACCCTTGACCCAGACGGAATTGCGATTGGCAAAAGGCAAAGAGGTGGCTTAGAATTTGCAGTTTTTTACAATAAATTTCCTATCGCTTGGTTAGAGTTCAAAATATGCGAATAGACTCTTTCACGTGTAACCTTATCCGTACGGCCAGCGGCTGTACTACCTCGTTTGGACTCCAGCGTATAGTTTTCATAAGCTTGGAAAACAAGAAATGACACTTTACAAAGCGCTAGCTAACACTTCACAGCTTATGGTCAATTTCAGCACCCCGGTAATGCAGTAGAATGCTTGTTTAATTTCTAATGCTGCCTGATGCCGGTTCGAAACTCTGCTTTGCCATTCTGTTCCTTTACCTTTACCAATTACTCACTGTGCTGGCTATGGTCCGCAGTTATGAGAATTAATATGCGTTTTGGCATAAAATTTTCAGTATACCGTGGTATCCTACTACTAGCAGATCAGCGACACGCTATCCGTTGGCCGGCTGCACTAAAACAACGCATAAATTTCTTTGCTCAAGGCAAATAGCAAGTCATGAAGAAAAGTTCACGCTCCGCATGAATTTGAATTCTGCCTCGCTAGCGTACAACTCAGACTACTTGCCGACAGTTCCTTTCTTCCACCCTTTTTGGTTACCGCTGATAAAACACTGTGGGATACAACGGCAGGACTCGGTCTGCGGAGTAACTAGAATCAATAGAAAAATTATACAGCCAGTAAGAAGCTTTTTCGACGTTGATCACTTAGGTGGTTATCGTTCCAGTTTCATGCCGAAAATATCATTAACAAATTTAAGGCAATCACCAAGATATGAACGCGAAAATTTTGACTATATAGAAAACGAATGATCGTATACTCTCTCTCTCTCTCTGTCTGAACAATTCCATTACTGCTAGTGAGAGTTGAAGGTTTCTTTAGAAGTGTATCAACAAACTGACCTTTCCTTCAAAGGCGACTAGCACAGAATGTATTGCAGGACGGTGAGTGGTACGAAGTAAAATGGTACACAATGGAAACAATCGCATCGAAAAGTCCCATCTGCTAGGTACATTAATGATTTAATTTTGAAAGTACGCAGTAGCAAACTTCGATAAAAAATTGGTTGTGAACGTAAATCGAAGACTGCTTTGATGTTGTACTTGGTGTGTAAATGGTTCTGACAAACTATGGCGCAACAGCGAAGAGTGATTTCAGGCATTGCGGGAAGACGAAACGGTTACTACTTTCTCAATCGACCAGGAGGCGGCCAAGAAATTACCTGGAGCATATTTCGAAGGGCTATGCCACGGACTCGGGATATCTTCTGCCGCAGCTGCAACACTGGCACAAGACTGGGATCGTTGGATGTATTGTCTGACACGTCTGTCTTTTGGACCCGAAAGGATCATCGGCCCTCGAAACTAGTGAGTTTACTCAGCATTTATGGCGTATGATATTCAAAGCACTTGTACAGAAAAATACTTCTCTTATTAACTGCCGATTCCAATCTGCGAGGAATTTTCTCCATCGAATTCGGCGTAACCGAGAGAAACGGGCGAAAAGTCACTGAGTCACTGCGAGGCACCATCGCAGCACATCACCTTCCTTTATTTACTGTAGATTTTGCGAAACCTGCCATCGTACCGATTGACGAGTGTACTCTACCGTTGCACTACGTCTTGAAAAGTTCGACCCTTTGGATCAGCCGGT